CATGGTGGTGTTAAACTGCTTCCTTCTGATTTCCGTTTGATATTGGACGGAATTGGACGGATATTGGATGCAGTCAGTAACTCCATCAAACCAGTCATTTATTGGTGAATCAACGAGCTGTTCGAAAACGTTGGCGTGACTTGTTGGCAGCCTCAAAAGCAATAAATAGCAATGTTTCCCAGTTGTACCTCTTCTAGATGACAATATAAATGGAAGGGGAAAAAAGGCGCATATTATTTTGCAAGACAAATATTCTTGGACATCGATAAGCAGGTGCACCACACTGCCAACTCACCCGCTGTGTGGATAAAGTACGCATTTCAAACGTTAATTATCGAACACAATGCAGTAAATCTAACGTCTACATCAGTCGTTTGAATAATGTAGACCGCAAATTTGTTCCCTCTGGTTTGCAAGAGACGAAGTTCAGAATTATTATGTTTGTCCAATATTAGCAAAGAAGCACATATATTCAAGGGACAACAAGAAAAATGCTAGCATTACACGAATTCACATGAGCAAACCGATGAACAGAAGTCCAGTTTAGGGCATAAATGAGAGCCCAGATAAAAGACGGAAACATCAGTAATTAAACCCAGTAACTTTTCGTTTGAAAAAAAATGAAAATATTTTTCAGCTACACACTTGATATAATGAGGTAAGTAGACAAGGAAAGAAGGAGAATACTGTGACTTTTATTATAATTCAAATGGAAGTCAACGCATAATGTACGGGGCAAAGAACGAGGATTTCGTCCCCAATACGACATAAAATAAACTTGGTTTTCTTATATTACGATGGGTTCACACCAAAACATTTGTTCTCAAATGCTATAGCATTAATCCCTCCCCGGAGCTTGTCATCCAATTCGTACGTGCCATAATTTAAATCTATGTATATACGCAAAGGATTAAAAAATAACGAAAATTAAAAACAACAAATAAAGAATTCACCGAAAAAATATATAACGTACCGGCAGCTGAACAGATAATTGCAAACAATAAAACAAAAGCGGATGAATAACAGCATTAAACAACACATTCCGTGAGAAACACGTTAAATATATTCAAACAATTAACTCGCTTGAACCAGGAAGATGGGAATACAGAACATATACGGGGTTGGCCAATGCAATGTTTAGGCAAGAAATTAGAAACAACCACAATTTGAAATCTATGTGTGCCTTCCCGGTGGAGAAATAAATTTAGTGAGAGATCTCAGAGGATAAGTCATTGTCGGCATTCACCAAAAGAGCGTCCGGTCCAAAAGTGACCGTTGAGGAATGAGCGGTGGAATATCCTGTGTGCTTAAGCCATGATCCTACTTTCGTCTACGCTGGAAGCCAATAGGATTTTCATCCAACTCCCGGAGAGAATCTTGTGGGTTTGTGAGATGCGTAGTGCGAATACTTCTAGAGGAGCATTAGCCAATTCTACGGTGCCTCTCGGCTTCTCAACATTTACTGGTTTAACAAGAACATTTTTCGACTGACACTTTCTAGACCATACTACCGTGTAGTGACGAAGTGATTGAATGACTCAAAGAAACACAAGCTAGCTTCTCTGTTATGTGACATTTAGATGCATCCTCGTGCGCCCGAGTGTAACAGCATAGATCGGGCTAATTTTGTCCAAAGCACTCATGAGGTGTGCCCACCTGTTAGCAAGCAGATGCAACNNNNCGTATATATATATATATATATATCGAAGCTTTGTATGATTTTTAAAGTTTCTTGTTCATGTGGTTGCAAAAACTCTGAGGAGTTTTGTGGAACCTAAATAATCCTGCATGTTGTCGGGACGGATGTGGGTCTACACTATAAACAAGTTTACCTCCATTGTTCGTGTGCTACCCAATTTGAATCAGACGTTCATCTCTGGTTTTCTGTCTATCGGCGAGGTCTATTTATGCGTCATCATCCTGCTTATCCCAACATCTTACCTTCGGATTAGTTTCGATCTTGTTAGTCAGCACATTCACCCAAACACCCTACATGTACATGGCGACTTTCCCAGGGAGCATTCACACCATATTTTTTTCAAGAACTGAATACCGTCGGATTAGGTTGACTAGCGCCGTCGAGCCGGCATAGTCCCCTGTTCTGCATGTGACGTGCGACCGTGTAGTAAAGCAACAACACAGAAACCTATCATGGGGCCATTTTCGTCTTTCCGCAGGTATACGTTTGTCTGAATTTAAAGGTCTTTGTATCAGGTATCAGCTTTCTATTTGAAGTGCTTCACTGCAATTTGTATACATTGTATTCAAGAGAAGCCAACAATAAAATTGTAACCATAACGTTTCTGAGAAAAAAATAAAATTCGCTAATTTCGACATTTTAGTGGAGTAGTATTCTCGGAAATCCATTTCACAGTCTACAAATT